AAGGAGCTGGAAAGGGGGGTTGGACTAGTCTCACATTGAAATAACGGCAGTTAGGGAGTGTTCGGGCGAGAATGCACGAAGGCGACGCAATGTCTGCAATACAGACAACACACCCAAACAGCTGATCGGATTCCTCCCTGCTATTATTATCTCCCTGAAATACTTACCTCATCCATTCGACGACGGCAGGCAGGGAATACTTAGAAGAGAATAGCGCAGAATAATAATAGAATAATAGAAATAACAGCTGAATACTAGCTCCTGTACGAGGCGGTCGACCAGCTGACCATTCCTGGCAATTTGCCAATCAGCGTATCGATTTTTCACCAACTTCGCTCCAGTGCGAATGTGGTGAAGGACAATTTGAACTCGTAGTCAGCCTAGCGAGGGGCGGAGGCCTGACGTCCCCCACTGTTCCTGCCCTTATTGTGCCCTATCCAGCTGTTTTCCGACCTCATTCCTGCACAAATGGTCTCAGAGGGGGCTTCGAATTCAAACCATGTGCAAATCTCCGAAACCATTTTTTCGGGAACAGTGCCTTTAAGAACTCCGTTCACTGCGATGTCTAGTGTGGCACCTGAGCTGTCTATTTCTATTTCTTTTTCTGTGGCTGCCACTTCTACAGTACATCGTTTCCTACGATTTCGCGTTACTGCAGCAGCGAGTTTTCTGGATTGATTTTTCTTCATCTATTCTACATTGCGGTGCGATTTTGACATGGACGCAGCAGTAGGTTCCCCTGTGCGAGCTGGTCTTCGCGAACGCGAGACGGATAGCTGGACGAACCTGCGTGGAAAAGTCGATGTAATAACCAAATTTAGGCGGGTTGCGGATCCAGTGAAGAGGGTCATATCACCCATAATGACTGAGTTGAACTTGCGCCGCGCAGAGGATCTCAATCTCAAGCAGGAATTCAGAGCGTTTATGATAAAAGTAGTCTGACTGCTGATACAGGGATTGAGCCTGTTCACTTGCTTTCTTGTTCTAGACAAGGTATTCGGGATGTTCTTGTCAACGCAGCTAACTCTGATCAGAATATGTCGTACTCTGAAGTTGAAAGATTACTTTCGATTGTTATAGAGTTCTGTTTGGGTCTAGTTCTGCTAGTGCCAGGAAGCATTTTTGTGAATATTTCCAGAACGTTTGTAATAATATGATTAATTTTCATAGAGTTGGATGTAATCCGGTAAGTGTGTACAGAATGGGAAGGCCTTTAAAAGATAAGTGTAGGTTAGTGAAGGTAGTTATCCCTTCACGCATGTTTAAACGTAGTGCTGTGTTAAGAGCTCCTCGCCTGCGCTTCCCTGTGGCAGGGATTTTCTTTTGGGAATATCTCATCAGAGAGGAGAGTGTGAAGAGGCGAGAGCTCCGACTAGTATTAACGAAGGGTCCGCAGACTACCTCAACAGGGGAAGCTCCTGCTCTGGGGAATACTGGGGCTCTACCTCCTAATGATTCCAATTTTAGTGTTGTTAACCTGGAAACTCGACGCGAGTTCCGCAGTCTTTTCTCAAGCTTTTTAACTTTTTTACTCGAATGCCAGGCCAGTCTCGAAAAACTCAGGCTACATTAATACAGTTCTAACTAATAAATTCGATATCTANGCGTTTACGGAGACGTGATCAAACCCGATATACGTGGCCCGTATTTTTAGCTCTTTTTTTTCAACATTTTTCATGACCTATCTAGTTTTGGAGTTATTGTTGTATACAAGGCTCCAGCTTGTGTTATGGCTCATACCGAGCAGCTTTTGAAACCTCTTAGTGATTTAATCGCGTGTGACCTCCACTCTTTGATAGTAAAAGACTTCATCGTGCCAGGGCTTGTTCAGGATGGGATGATTGAGGCAAATAGCGTTACATTACCGTCTTTACAGCAATTTATATGTACCCGTAATTTGACGCAGCTGTTCCATTCTATATCCGACTAGAGGAAGGAATATTCTTAACTTGGTTTTAAGCACCAATGAAAGTGTTGTTTGTAATTTGAATATTTTCTTCCACTTGAGCAAAGTGACCGCAATAGTGTTGGTTTTGAACTCAACTACTGTAAATCCCTCGCTCGGCCAGTTTATTACAGGTCTTACACAGCCTATGATTTCGGCACTCTGTGCGCAGANCTTGTAAGAATCAGGTGAGCTGATCCTCTAGAAACAAGGAGTACTGTCAACGAAATATATGAATCGTTTTTTGCTGTTCTGCATGCGACCATTGAGTACTAAGTTGCGTGGAAGCTAGTATCGTCGTTCAAATCAGTAAAACTTCCAAAGTACTTGCAGAGTGTTATCGCACATCGAGATTGCCTTTTCTTGGATGCTGAGCGAACTGGTATGGTCGAAATGTAGGGAATTCAGTAAGTTTCTCCTTTCGAAACTCAGAAAATACAACAGTAACATTGAGAAAAATGTTGTAGAATCGAAATGGAGTCAAACCCTTTACAAGTATTTAAATCGGAAACCTAAAGACAAGGCTAATATTGGCTCTCTGAAAGTAGGTGATGTTGTGGCACACCGCCCCGTACGAAAAGGCCAATTTGTTTGCAGGGCAATTTGTAAAATCATTTTTGAGGATGACAGAAGGGTTCCAAACTTCGTCACACGCCCTTTCCTTCCGTGGCAAGTGTGCCGTTGTTCATTGCAGAACAGATTATGAAATGGCTGAGTTCCTCCTCATCAACTCCGGACTTCATCACACTCATCGAAAGGGTGGTATGTATTATTAGTGAGTCTTTAGCTTATATATTCAATCAATCTCTGGTTAAGGGTGAGGTACCTCTTACGTGGAGGCATTCCTTTGTAGCGAATCGTTTACTTCGACAAACTGTGGTTGGTTTTCGCTACTGACAGTCGCCTGTGGCGACAGCGGATTTACATCCGCTTGAGCGGTGGAACCCTGGCCTCTGAAGAAGACGATAGCGTCGAAACGTTAGGCCATTGAATTAATAAATCGTTCCACCTAACAACCTCGCACGGCACAAGAGTATTCAAATAATAAGCATTCCTTTGTCATTACGCTTTTGATAAAGGTTCCACCCTCGGATCTAGGTAGTTATCGTCTCGTGAACATTACTTCTCTCCTCTGCAGTTTATTTGATAAAAACCTCAAGGAGCATGTCTTCAGACATGTTTTTGATAGTGAATTTATTCCGACAAATCAACACGGCTTTATCCCAGTGCGATCAATCGAAACCAACATGATTGAGTACTTCGGGACTAGGCTGATGCTCTTGATAGTAATAGCTCGTGCGATGTCATCTACTTCTATTTTGCGATAGCTTTTATCAGTGTCTCATAAGAAGTTAATCCATAAGTTACGAGACCTGAGATTTCATCCTGTTCTCATTAAGTGGATCGCCGAGTTTTCTCTGGTAGAACTTTCTTAGGTTATAGGACAGGTTTTCTCGTACAGTAGGGAAGTCGTGAGTGGAGTGCCGCAAGAGGGGGGGGGGCTCTCTCCGGTGCTCTTCAACTCTTCACGACCGATATCCAAGTAGGTTGAGCGAATTAGATGTTGTCACAAAGATGTACGCGGGTGATATTTACAAGGATATCCCGGAAGATGGGGAAGGTGAAGCTCTTCGGAAGCGACTGATTTTAGCTGACTGGCCCAAACAGGCCATTACCACGGGCTCCTCATAAAACAATGTGCATGCGGATTAGTCTGTCATCGGAGGACAGCCTCTTTCATATGTTGTTGATGAAGTCACTGTTGCTTCTGTAAAATCGGTGCGAGTTTTAGGCTTGCACTACACCAACCTCCAATCACATCGGGAACTGCTGCTGGTTACCTCTAATGAGCACATTCTGAATCTAATCTCTACCGCTAGTATGCACGCTCCTCTCCAAGCATCTAGAACATGTGGACGCCCGCTAGTTGAATCTGGAGCCAACGTGTTTAGTCCACCGAAGAAAAGGATGTAGTAGCATCGGAAAAGGTCCAAAACAATTACACACGCGAAATTCTTGTTCGTTGTAAGAGTTTTCTCTACTCCAGAGTTCCAAAACACACTCTAGAAACAGGCACCTCGACCTTGCAACTTTCCAACCTCGACGCATGGTATTTGACGTATGACATAGTTTATAAGCTCCTGAACCAATCCGCTACGCCTTTTTGACTTTTTCGAAGTCACACCATCACGTACTAGAGGTGGCAAGCCAAAATACATTTGACTTGTCCAAGGACCAGCGTGGAGCCAGAATTTTTCGTTCCGAGCCACAAGCACTTATAAAAAACTGACGGAGAGCCGTGTTTTACGCACATAGCTGCCAAGCTATTAAGCTATGTAGCCTCGTAGTCGCTCGAGATTGATTTTCTTTATGAGGTGCTTACTCCGTTTACATCCTCTATTTCTGAACGTTTCCGTCTGGTAATGATGTTTTAACTAAGACGCGTGTAGTGTATTTGCTGAGTTTTCGTTCCTGCTGAAATGGTTTTAGTTTTGTTCTCATGCGTCTGCCTTACGCGCCGTAATAAACATACATACATATGGAGAGCCAGGCTATGCCGGGCAATTCATCAGGTATTGAAAGAAATCCGAAACAGATTTTCAAAAATACCTCAGCTCGTAATCCTTGCCACACTAAGAACTGAAACTTATTCGGTTCCAAAGGACCAAGGTCAATTATCCCATTTTCATTGTGAACTCGATTTCAGTTCAGAAACATTTGAATGAATGGAATACAGCTTTATAATTGTGACTATAGTTAACCGTCACAGCTTGGAATGGTCCCCGGTGCATGCATGTAATAGTAAGCGATGAATTTCCCACTAACGATCTTCGCTACCGATATTTCTCATTTTAAGAACTTGTCACTCACTTGTCGCATTTCTCTCCATAGAGCCCTTCGTCACAAACACAATATCCATATACAGGATCACAGCGCCCATCGGGGCATGACATACGACATTTTAGCTCGCACATTGGACCATAATATCCTAAATTGGACCATAATATCCTAAATTGGAGCAGATGATCTTACCAAACGCTTCGAATATAGCTGTTTCAGAGGAGTTATACCTGGTGGACATGGACCCTGAGAGCATTCCTCCTCTGAAAGACATCGACAGGAACCCGTCACGGGATCACAGCTTTTTCCCTCGCAACCGCAGATCTAAAATTATTAGTGAACCCTGTAAAAATCGATCCTATATAAGAAACAAATACCTGGTTGCAACCCGCACCCCATCTACCATCTGGGCACATATCATCACAGATCTCACCAGTGAACCCTGGCGCACACTCACAACTCTTACTGTCAGCTGAGCAAGTGGCTAGAATTGAACAATGAAAAACCGTAATAATTATACAAAACAAATAAAAACTAATGAAAAGCGAGTTTATTGGGATGAAGGTTGATCAGAAAGGGAGATGTTGCCTCCAACTGACGGAAGATTCCCGACTTATGCGTCATGATTAACAATTGCTACTGCTTAAATTTTGCAACAGGCTTTCCCATCCAATATTACTCCAGCAGACGCATATTTAGAACCAACCATAAGCGGATGATTTACGTACCTTCGCTGGAAAGAGGGATCAAATCAGACGGAGCCTAGGAAACCGTCTCTACAGTCCCCATTCAACACCCTCGATCGCCACTTTGGCCTATTTTCTACAGACTCATGTTTCATGGTGCCGGCGCAAAAGTTATGTCGCTCGGCTGGTCAACAACAATATAGTCATAAAACCCACCGGCCACTGTATGAAAAAAACCATTCTATACTCGGTTAATGCGATAATTCCACAGACGATAACCCTCATATCTGTCAAATTCAAGAGTTCCGTGTTATGGTTCGAGTAGTTGATCAGGATCCTCAATGTCCTACTTTAAAGGCACAGTTCACGATAAAAATTATAGCTGAAATTTCCCTACAGTATGAACTTGAGGCTCATTCTCATACCGTGCCTGCGTTTATAAGCTTGAAAAACGTATGGATAGGGCACAGTAAGGGGCCAGAGATTGTATCGTGTGAATGTTACACCCATCGCGGACGAGTTTCAGCGGCTTTGTAGAGGCTGCACTATCTCAAGAGACTCCCATGTAGAAGTTCCAACAACTTGTCATAACCCATGGCAATAGTGAAAGCGGTATCGGACAATTCCGGCTTGATGTAGTTATTGCGCAATGGGAGCAACTTAAGTCTCGTCCACATACGCCTACACGCCATTCCCGTCACAGTGATCTCGCACAGCCTCAATTCCACAGCTTTGAAGCAGGCGGACTTTCTCGCTTTCTTCGCCGCCGATGTACTCCCCTTCATAAATGCTTCTGCTTTTCAACATAAAGGGCACTCGAAATTATCGTGAACTATGCCTTTACCATATATTTACTCTCTTTAATGTCTCTCTTAACCGCCCTACTTCTGAGCAACTAAAGCTCTAGCTGGCCGTTATTTCACGTGGACGGCCACACAAGCTATAGGCAATGGGCAGCAAACCTCGCCACAAGTGCACTTTGGGTTTTAGATCCCGAGTTCACTCATTCTCGTAGCTCCCATTACGATTATTTTTTAACTTGGAGCGAATATAAACCTGCAAGAAGATAAAGGGCTGTAGGAATCCGTGTTTACGTCTAGAGTAACTGCTTTTAATAGAGGCTTCTCAGGTTACTAGTTTGCTATTATATTGCAAAGAACTCACGAAAAAGCGCTCGATACCTGAGCATGCCTTAAAAACCAACACTTTAGAGCGCTCAAAAAAAGGGGACAGACCTTCATTTTTGCAGTCCTTGCAGGTGTACTGGCAATGTGAGCCGAAGCGTCCATCGGGACATGCTGAAGCAAACTGATTTTTAGGAGTGGAGTTTTGTAAGGCTCATTTTCTACGTGAAATGGTGTTGATTCGTAATTCACTACGTATGAGTGTACGTCGAAAACAAACACCGTGCAATTCCACTTGCGTTCGCTTGTTCCAAAAAGGAGATGCTTTCAGTATCATCCGAGGTATACTTGTTTTGGGATCGCATTCGCCATTTCACGCTCCAAATACACCCGTTTGGAGCAAGCGATCTCAAGTGTGCAAGCTGTCTAATCTACTAGATCAAGCCACTCATAACTCCTTCTGATACGTACTAATTATGACAACATAGCTGAATGAAGCCGAAGAATTCACAAGATACATAGATAGATGACTGAGGACTTGCTTCTACCTTTGCTCAGCCGACTGAACGCGAAATAATAGCCGGATATGGGACGTACTGTACCGTCGCTGGGATAGTTCTCGATGCTGTCAATAAGCCGATCCAAAGAGTTGCTGTCAATATCTCCTGTATCGTCGAGTTGTTTCGGATGTGTAATGACGTCTGAAATCACAACACAACCACACTAAGCTAAGCGAAAGCTAACGTGAGCCACGATCAAACACTGCTAAAAAGGAAAGGTATAGGTATCCACCGAAATTAGGTAGGTAATAACATGAGGTTGATGCTACGCCAACAATTGGTAAGGCACAGTAGGTTAGTAACCACACGGATGTTGATGGAAGGAAATCATAGTCAACATTAGTTCAGTGGCGATTTGAGGAAGATTCTAATGCCGGCGTGTAAGCGTTTCTAAGAAATTCAGCTCGGGTGTAAAGTTCGTATCTCGATGAAAGAGCGTTACGAGCCTACTAGACTAATTCCTCATGACGATCATAGTCAGGGCATGCGTGAAGTAAAAGAATCGTACTGGCGAGGTTGTAAATGAACTTTAGCTCTGTAACTTTTTCAGGCAACTCATCCAAAATGTACGTAGGAAATATCGAAGGCGCAAAGCGCCATCTGCTGCTTGGGTCAAAAGCACTGTGTCTACGGGAGTATAAATAGGTCAAATATCAAAATAGGTGAACGAATTCATCAGACTTGCTCCAGAAAGAAGTCTCAGCAGCAGAAGTCTTTTTGCGCACAAGCCACGACTCTAATTCCATGCAACTCAAAACGATGCATGAAAATTTCCAAGACACAACACACAAACTGCACACACGCCGAGCTTTGATGCGTTCAAGTGTGAGTTACTAGTTAAAATTAAATTTGATCAAGTGTCAACTTTACTCACGTGATGCAAGAAATGGAGCAGTGGCGGAAAGCGCAGCTAAAAGGGTAGACTTCACAGAACACAAAAACTCAAGAAACGGTATTAATTAAATAATGGATAAATAGCCACAAGGTATGGAAGAGGATATTCCACAGGTTTATGTAATAGGATTTGTATAACAATGAATTTCGCTTTTGTAAACAGCCCACTTGTTAACAACAAACACATATGAAATCGGAGATGTTTACCGAAGCCCCTTCTACACTAAACAACCCGCATCAGGTTTATAAGACTTCTGTAACTGCAGGTGAGCGCTAAATTATATAACACCCGAAGAATGTACATAAATATCTTTAGTATGGCATACGTAATGAAAAAATGAGAAGAAACACATGAAGCAAAAATTTCTGGAGAATATGGTGGAGGTTAGGGAGAATCCGCTTCACCCCAAATCTGAATCACGCACTTGGTTTTTTGTGATAGTGAACGGCAAAGATTTTACCAGCTCTTTTGAAGATCAAATTGTGCAGCCATTGGAATTCAATAAATAATGACATTGTATGCTCCCTTGTGACTGATTGCAGAAAAACTGCCTTCTCGCTGCATCAGGAAGTAGTTTTCAATTAATTCAATCAGAAAAACAACCCAAGGAATACTATGCGAGGCATGGCTAGATATATGGGTAGAGGGTGATAATCATCTATCTCTCTTATTTATAAAGCAGAAACTTGGTGTGTCGGTTTGTCGGTTTGGGTGTTTGTCGGTATGTCGGTATGTCGGTATGTCTGCATGTCGGTGTGTCTGTCCGCAAAAGTTTATGATTACGATAAGTGAGTGATATGGAAGACCCAGCTCTATCCTACGTTCCTCTACATTTCTACACTTAAGGGGAGGGGGGCATTTCTAACTGATTAATAAGTGCAAGGAATGAGGGACCCGCGAAACCCGGGTGGCCCAACTGGCATGTAATTGTAACATCAAAACTAGGACAGCATGTAGACGAAGTAAGCAAAAACGACACATCAGCACCGCCTCCTTCGACAGTTCCGCCCATAAATTATTGTGAAATTGTAAGGATAATGAATTTATGGAGGACGAGGGAACTGGTAAAGATAATAGTAGAACGCCCTCTGACGGAGAATATCAAGCCCGCCTCTCGAATCTACAACGGAAATAGTAACGTGAATCAGGACCAAAAATTTTTTTTATTTAATTTTTTTTTCTTAAATTCCCCAGAGAAAGGAAAAATGCGATGAGTTGATCATTTTCCAGTATAAACGTAGTTTGTGATCATTGCTTATACTCGCCTGAATGCCATCTTCCTGATTGGACCTTAATTTTTTGCTGATTTTTTTGTTTGCTTTTGGCTTTAATTCTTCTGTGGGAATTCTATGTCCGCCGATGCTGACCACCTGTATTTTAGATGCGACAATAAAAACGAGTAGAAAATGGAAGAAAATTTGTATAAGAAGGTGAATAAAAGAACAGTAAAATAAATAAATAATTTATCGAAGAGACGTAAGGCAGGGAGCTCCACACGGAACGAACTTTCTTTTCGAGGAGCAGACAAATAAAAGGCATTTTTACGGTGTCATGCCACGATTACTCGGAAGGGGATATGTGTAGCCAGGACGACTGCCTAAAGGCGATTGCTCAACAGATGGGAAGGAATACATATGCACTTTTAGATAAAACATTGATGTGCTGAGCAAAGTTATTGCTATCAAATGCTTCTGTGAACACTAAGAGGCATTGGATAGTGATAATTTTGCAAAATGAAGGGAGTCATTGTGTTGATTTTATTGTATCGGAATTGGCGAACCTTTTCATAGATTAGACGATATTTCAATTTCCTTTTCCCATCCAAATACCATTAGAAGTAGAATATCAGTACCAAACTTGAATGTCACCATGATCTACATAACAAGTTCAATTCCCAAGAATCACCAATGCAGAGAAGGGTATTAATGACATTCTTCTGGGGTAAAATGCAACCATTCGGACATTAATGAGACTGGAGTTATGTCTATCGAGGAATTCGCAAACACAACTCTAGCTTCCCAGCTTACCTAATTTTGAATCTTCATGAAAACTATCAAGATTAAACCATCGAAGCAGCAGCGAGATTTGCTCAAAAGCTAAGCAAAGGTGCTGCTTTTCAATTTCCAAAACTACGTGACCCTAACTTGTTTTGTAGTACTGATTGGTACATGAGGTATCAAATTCAAAGGAAACAAGCAAACGAAGCAAAATTTACCCATGCACGACTTCTCGTCTTTGCCTAGAACGTATCCACCGAAACATTCACAGTGTCGACCGCCTTCGTCATTGCGGCACAGCTGGCTGCATCCACCGTTGTTCACAAGACATTCGTTAATATCTAAAGCAGCATTCTAGCATTTAAACTGTGCCCGTTAAAGGATATTTCCTTGGAGGATAATCTCTTTTAAAACAGTCTTATGCACAGCCACGTCACCGTTAAACGACAACCGCGCCTCTTGTAGATGAACTGAAGCTTAATAAACTCAAATTGGGGCACCACAAAAGATAATGATTCTGTTACTTTATCATCTTGATCATTTCACGAGATGCCTATGGTCTGAGGTAGGCGGCTGCGCAATCTAGAAAGGTTGGAGCTCCCTTCTATGAATCAAATCATGCTCAAATCGCTTGCTCAGGCCAAACGAGTTTGCATTTTGCAAAGAGTCCTAGAAGTCTTGTTGGGCAGAGAAAGTCGTCACCGGGGCATGACGTAATTCTTGTAAAAAACTCTTCTCAAGGCGTATTACTAAGCATACTTTACAGAGTCAGAATGAACTGTCACCTTCACCTCCAGGAAGGCTCTATTAGCGATAGCAGATTAAAGAATATAATGGTCCAATTTACTTTTCCTCACCATAGCACGAATGACCGTCTTCAGCCAAACGATATCCCTTTCCGCAAGAGCATTTGTAACCACCTGGCAGATTATCACACGAGTGCTGGCAACCACCATTGTTCAAAACACATTCATTGATGTCTGAGATTGTAAGAATTAATCATTGTGGTCAACGGGCATGGATGTGACTTCAGAAATATTTTTTTGAAATTACCGCAGATCACAGTCGAGCAACAGAAATTATCAGACAAGGAACACTTACCCTCACATGTTCGTCCATCATAAGTCATAATATAGCCAGTTTTGCACTGACATTCATATGAGCCCGGAAGATTGACACAAAGTTGCGAGCAACCTGCATTTCCCACAGAACACTCGTTGATGTCTGAAAATGAAGGCGTAGTACAGAAAACTTCTTTCCTAGCTTCACAGTCTACTCTATGGAGAGTGCCTCTAATGGACTGGCTACAATAGTGCGACAATGTGCCGAATGAAGTCGTGCAATGCGAAGAGAGCTGCACACGACTGGAAAAACACAATCACGTACGTCTTCCAACATTCTTTGAGCACAATACTGGCATTAAGTTCAAAAATAGTAGGAGTCCAGAGTATCTCCAAAAACCCTTCTAGACACACTAACGCTCTGATTTCTTCCCTTCGAGTGATCAACGACGAATGTGACTGACGAGGGCTTCTAACGTTCCAGTGCACGGGTGCTTGNTAACTCGATACCGTCGATGTGATTTCAGAAAAAACCTATTTGTGATAAGGGGACCTGCCAAATATGTGCTAAATCTACCGCAAGTGCACGCTAACCCTGGCATGAATGCCTGTCAATTTCGTTGAGCAGATAACCAGCATTGCAGTAGCATGTAATCTCATTTGAACGATAGTCCATACAGAGACGATGACAAGCGCCCTGATTCAGAAGGCACGACGAGTCTTCATAGCCATCGGATAGGTAATAGGAGGACTGCCATTTTGGCGGCGGGAGCACTTCTGAACTAAACTGTTACTTGAAGGAAATGAGCAGGAAACCAATCATGTTAGTTAACTTCGCCACATGCCTGAGTGCGATGAAAACGAAAGCAGGGATCAAGAAAAACATGAACGCATAGTCCCCTCATGTTAGTGTTGGTATCACAAGCTTGCATCACGACACTACAGTAGCGCGGTTGTTGAAGCCGAGTATAAATCGTTCACTGACTTCAATGTCGCGACCTAATTTAGCCTCCTATGGCTATTCCCTTTAGCCACGAACTGACCGGAATTAAAGAGCAAAGTTCATCATAAATTTGGGGTGTCTAACTTTAGACGTCCTAAGACGAAATTTGCGCATGAAGAGGAGTATAAGGTTTAAAAAAGTGACTAAATCATGGATTTAATCAGAACTGTACGACAGAAGTTGTAAGAAAGGGCTATTTGGACGAGCTGTTCAAATGCGTGAGCAATTGCGAACAAGTGGCTGCATTAAGTGTCCGTGTGCAACGTGTGTGTCCCGTTGCGAATGGCGCAACCTCTACACCCTCTATACCGCTACGAAAACTCGTCCAACTTTGAATGCATATTTCGGTATTGGAACCCTTATTATGCTACATCTATTCCGATTTTCGACCGCCGGCGGCGTTGCTTACGCTTCATGCTAGAAAGAATTCTACTAAACCACTTTTGTTGTAAAGAGTGCCTTTTATAAATATCTTCACTTTAAACCTTCAACTTTCTAATTCCTATAGAGCAGGGAGCAAGCTTCAGTGGAAAGTGCAGAGCATGACCGTATCGCTGCATAATAAGGAAAAGCGTCAACTATTAATAAAGGCTGAAAAGGTCTGGATAGTCACTTCATTCCCCTTGGCAGGGGATCCTCAGTATTTAACTGTAGTGTGGGCTTTGACGGGACCATAGATAAAATATTAAAGTGATCATGGCTGATGAAGATTGATAATGGATATCAGAGTAAAGGAAACATTGATAATGGATATCCAAAGAAAGGATACATCAGATTTGTTGCTTATTCTTTTTGAATGGAAAGCTTCTCATGCGATTTTTTTTCTAAACAGGAGTTATAACTTTTCCACTAGTGACATAAATATTGGAGTAGAGGATCAAAAAAGGAAGAACTCAGATAGGAACGAATGCGCCACGTTTTATTCCGCAATCAACACCCGCAAAGTCAGTTCACCTTGCTCAAAGCCTATGACACTACAGTTTGATGCATGAAAACGTAAATATGAATGACTAAACCTGAATCCACTGCTGCACTGCTGTTTGACAACCCTAAAATTTATAGGCAAACATTTGTCGTGAGTATATATTGCCGGTAATAATCATTAGTGACTGTAAGGATTGAATACAGGTGGAATATCTCGTCTCAGGCATTCGCTCAGGAAAGCTGTTACCTGCCTCGAGGGCCAACTATTCGAATTGGGCAAGGACCAATCCGACCAAATCCACAATCGTTAACAAAGCACAAGCTCGACTCCCCATTCGACATTGCATAAAAGTGCGACTTTTTGAAATCCACGGATATTCGGGAGCTGTTCTCAGCACTGCGTTAGCTTTCGATAATAAGGCAGCCGAGATATTTGAAGAAAATCTCATTCGGTCGGTGGAACATCTGACGAATATAGTGTATAAAGAAAGAATCCTTAGCCTAAATTTTTAACTTTTTACCTGTACAACGTCATCTATATGTGAGCTTGAACCCTAAATCTGGCCTGATGTGTATCGAAAATGTTACATGCGCAATCACTATATGTACTCCCATTCGGCTGCATTTCCGTTATCGGAAGGCGTTTGGGAGCTCATCATTGTCCAGCCACCCCATTTTTGTATCGTTTTACTATCACAAGCTAGATACTTAACAGTACAGGACTGGATAAAAATACTGCTCATTACATTGTCATTGTCTTCAAGTCAACACTTCGTTTGCATACGTAAACCTAAATTTTAAAAGCCCTATAGAGTACAAGCGCAGTTCATGGTGGTTATTAGTACATAAAAGATTCTGAACAAAGACAAGCACAGTATTAGGACCTATAGGATAATATGCCCCTGGCGATTGCCGCTAAGCCATCTTATGCAAGCTCAGGACCGGGAGGTCCGTAACGAAATTGATTTCGGAAACGGCACCACTGTCATGGGCGTCAGCTTTTGCCCCACCGAATTCATCGTTCTGAATGAAGATAAGAAATGGCCGTTTTTCTGAAGCTCCGTTCGCTGAAGGCAATCAGTAAGATGATCCGCTCAAATTAACGCCAGAGATTGCTCTAGGATTGAGCACTTATCACTCCACATCGTGCGATGCTTGGGAGAGGTTGGAAAGGTTTCGTAGTTGGATTACGGACGCCGGAGGAATAGAGCGAAACCAAAAGAAACAACCATGAATCAAGAGAATGGTGAAGTCAATGAAGATTGGTAGTTTGCTACTGAGAGAAATATATGGTGAGAGGCTTTTGGAAAAGGGTGCGAAAACGATGAGGGCAAAGTTTTTGATGAGAAGCCACAGCAAAAGTACGATGCGACTCTCACTTCATTCCCATCCACTTCTGAATTTCATTGTTAGAAGACAGAAGGAAGCAAAAACAACTCAGTGAATTAGCAATTAAGTTTGTTTTTGTCGCGCTTATTAACTACCATACATTTCCCATTTAACATTAAATCAATTGTTGATGTACCTAAAGGTATCAAATCCCACCTATATTGGAATACTTTTGGGTTGACTCAAATCAAAAACCAAAGTGGAACGAACCAGTGCAGCTTTTCCCATCTGCGCCTAGGTCATAGCCATCTCGACACTTGCACACATGGCCACCGTCAGGTTGATCGTAGCAATCATGCTGACAGCCACCATTTGCCACTTGACAACCACTCAGTCGCTCGTCACAGGAGCGACCGTCGTCCGCTAAAGTATAACCGGGACGGCAACGGCATCTGAAAATTGTGAGCACTTGACACTCTATGGCGATAGCCTGGCCATAAAATGTTGAAATTTTGTATGTTAATATGTGTCACTGTTGTTGAAAAGGATCCCGAACACACTGCGTTATCTGTAATGGCTTCTGATAAGACAAAGTATTGGGTTGTAACATAAATTCGTAGAGTTTTGTGTTAGGGTCATTTTACAACGATTCGCTTTGTTTTTTGGCGAAGTGTATATATTTATTCGAAAGAGCTCTTTCTCCTCTATAGAATAGTTTTATTCGTTTTTTTGGATAATCTACTTGTACGTCTTTTTTCTGGCTCAGAATTGGAATATCCAGGAGGAGAAAATCAGCATTTTCGACATCTGCTTTTCATCGAGGTCAATAAGCAGCCGAAGCCGCTCGAGACATATGCAGTGTGTACGAGTAAGGTGTCTTAGGTGTGTCTCTGGGTGGCCCCAGGAGAGACACCGAAGCCGAGAGTCAAGCAAGACCTCCACTCAAATTAGGTCATGATTTGCGTTTGGTGAGACTGGAAAGGCACGGTGCACTGGGAAATGCTCGAACGAAATGCTACTGTCAACAAGGAGGTCTACAATGCCCAGCTAAACCGTGTTAGTGTGGCTGTTTTGGCAGAAAAACCCGTTAACAAGGTGAAGTCATCTTGCTCCACGACAACGCCAGGCCCCATAATGCCCAGGTCGTCAAAACAGCACTCCAAAAGCTTGAATGAGAGGTTCTTCAGCATCCACCGCACTCTCCGGATCTCGCACCTACCGACTACCACCTTTCCGCTCTCTGTCAAACCAAATGAGGAGTGTTACCTTCGATGGCGAAGAGGTTTTTGGAAACTAGCTCAACAGCTTCTTCGACACCAGACCGGCCGATTTTTGGCGAAACGGCATCAACAAATCGATCGAGAGATTGGAGGAGGTCGCAAACAGTAACAGGAGGGTACATCATTGATTAATTTATTATTATAATTATTGTTTTTTGTTAAAATAAATCTCTGTGAAAAAACTCCACGGACTTATGTTACAACCCAATACTACCTTATGGCATTCTAATGGACTCTATATATATGGACTCTAACTTGTCTTTCATAAGTGGGAAGTGTACCTTTATGTAGTTCCACAAGCTGCCTTACATTTCTGAATATATGCTTCGTATATTCTTTGACTTGTTGTTGTGAGCCCAGGGTGGTGACCGATGGCCAGTGAAGGAGCCAGAACCATATGCTTACCATTATCACAAGTGGGATTAGGATCTCCCGATGATTCAGGGTACTCAAGCATGAGCTATTTGTAACCAGTGGATAGAACGTCTGCCATCAGCAGCTCATCAATCTCACCCGTCATCTAAAGAGATCTACCTCTAGTTCTCTTTCTTATAAAGTTAAGTCAAGGAATTGGAAGGTCCTCCTCTGAAAGCACAGAGCCCTTGTAGAGAAAAATGTCCACCACCAATAAATGAGAAACGGGCTATTTACAGTCTGTTCCTAATTGAAGGCCTGTCAAGTCCGTAACAAAACAACGGCTGATTTTCTGGTATATAGTATACACTGTAGTGTATTCTATGTTAAACGAGAGAAACATAGAAATAAGGATGAATCAAGGGATATTCTGTAAATTTCAAATTATCCGCTATTACCCAAGTATGTGTTGCCCACAATACACAACAATTAGTACCTGTACGATCCGTAGGTGTTGACACATTCGTGTTGACATCCACCGCCACGTTGAACTTTACATTCGTCAATATCTGAGCAATTCCATAAATAAGACAAAATTGCAAACAGAATGATACAAAAGACTTTCCAAACTTTTCTTCTACAATATGTAGGGCCTTTCGAAACATTTACCGCAGAAACCAGCTTCATTTAATTTCCCTACAACTCTACTTTCAGACGCTATTAATATTCGCAAAAATTTGCTACGGTGGAAGAATTAGTTAGTTGTAACCAGCGATACGTGCATGACCGAAGAAGTTCGGATGTGGTGCGATAGCAACGAAAGTGTCGCGTCGCGGCGAGAAGACGCCGCGCGCGAAGGTATGTGGAAGAATGCAGCAGCAAGTAAGAAATACAGGATAAATAGAACTATTCGTAAAACCATGCCAAAAGTAATAAGCTCATAGCGATTGAGCTGTATGAAGAACGGTAGAACTGTTATAACGAGGCAAGTGGTCCGCGAAAGCCGCGTGCGGCGGATCGATTACACAAAACCGTTCCTTCTGCCAGTCTCCCATTAATTCATACGAGGGACTCGAATTCATCGTGTTACATACGTATTTTTATTGGAAACATAATTTATTCGACTAGGAAAAGTCATATCATCCATTGGATTGAATCTTCTGTTGACAGGTTATAGTTCAACTAGCTAAGCTCGAGAATATGGCATGTGGTTTGCAAAGAAGGATTTCCACTTTCAGTGAGCCCCGTTGAGGTCAATTTCAAAGTGGAATTTTCTGAGCTGTCAACCAAGATTTACAATAACACATTTATTAGCCGACCTTTCTTCGGTGCTATGGTCTTAGCCGGAGTCCCTGGAAAGGCAAAGTCAATGAAGCAGCCAGTTATCCAAACATTATTCAGGCCTAGTTTTTTTTCTAATAGTTTCTTGGGTGAATTTTCCTACCTATAACGATTAAAAGTAAACCAACCAGGTTTCCGTGGGTCCACCTGACGACATTGAGGGAGCATCAGGCCAATCCGAATCTAGGGTAACTGTGTTGGGAAATTTCCCCCTGACTGCGCGCGGTCTGTTCTGGAGTTGGGTCCTAGCTTCTCACCTTCGCAACATATTTCCAGTAACACCATACGTAAGGTAATTTGCAGCCTGCACGAGCTTCAGGATCGTCTCCGCTAAAAGGCTAAGGCAGACAGTAGTGGCTCAACTACCAACTTATCAACATCTGCACCTAACACTCCCTTCCCTCAAACCTACTTTAAACAGCAGAAGCCTGATCTCGCTTTAGACACCACCTTTCGGATTTTTGCTGATGAAGTATTTAAGGTGTTCAGTAGGTACCAAAAACGTCACTTGCCTTCCAATCTCTCCCGCGAGCAAATTCATGGAATTAGGCAGTTTCAAGAACTAGCCAAAGCCCGCACCATAAGGCTGTCGGTCCGTGACAAGGAAGGGGAGTTCGTAGTGATCCCTCGTCAACTTGATCACGAAATAACGGAACGGCACCTCGGAGATCACTCCCTCTACCGACCATCCTCAGAGAGAGAGAGTTTTAGTCGCAGTTCCGAAGGATGAATCGAGAATGGGTGACGGTAGCGAAATCGGCGGGCCTTGACTCTAATACTATCAAACGTCACAGTTCCGAAGGCTGAATCGAGAATGGGTGGCGGTAGCGAAATCGGCGGGCCTTGACTCTAATACTATCAAACGTCTCAAATTAGAGTCACCAAGCTGCCCCGTGCTTTATCTTCTCATCAAGACCCATAAGTTCTCACCAACGGACGATTTGACCTCAGTAAGTGCTCACTCTGTCAAGGTTAGACCTATTGTTAGCAGCGTGGGGGGTCCCACTGACAGGATCGCGTGGTTCCTAAGCACCATTCTGACCCAGTTGCTTCAATTTATACCATCGCACCTTGCCAACACCCAAATGTTCCTGAGTTACCTTAAAAGGGTGCGTCCCAATAGCTCCTGTGTCATGGAATCATTCGACGTGGAATCTCTGTACACCAACGTAAGTAATTCATCTGCTATGGAAGCCGTTTCAGAGCTTCTCACCCAGCACTGCCACGTTCTCAACATGAAAGGGTTTTCCGTTAGACAAGTAATGGGGCTTCTCAAGGAGTGCCTCAACTGCAACGTTTTCAAGTGGTCGGGGAGGTACTTCGCGCAGACTAGAGGTTTAGCCATGGGGCAACGCCTGGCGCCTTGCCTGGCCATTGCCTTTATGGCTAAAATAGAAACACCCGTTCTGGAGCGTCTTCCCATGATGTACTGCAGATACATCGACGACTGCTTCGTAGTCTGCTCGACACAGGAGGAAATGGACAAATGCTTCGACCTCATCAATAGGCAGTCCGAGCATATCAGGCTAACCCGTGAGAAGCCATCAGAAAGCTGGCTCCCTTTCCTTAACGTGCAGGTCAAACTTATGGGGTGCAGCTTTGTCACAAAATGGTATAGGAAGCCCAGCAACAAAAATATAATTCTCCACTGGCGGTCAGCGCATCCTCGGCAGACCAAACGTGCGGTGATCAAAAGCATGTTCCGTACCGCAATAAATGTCTCCACCGGCGAGGATGAAAGGAGAGAGTCAGTGGGAATGGCTCAGAAAATCGCTGAGCTCAACGGTTACAAGCGCCCCCCGCATTCTCATCGGTCAACGGCAGGCGGTGACTTCAGCAGACCTAGAAGAGGTGTTCTGAACGGGAAAATTCCTTTCATGATACCCTTCATCTCTGATGAGGTGAGCGCTTCCTTAAGGAGGTGTCTGAAGAGATCGGGTCTAGAAGTCACTGTTGGCCTTGGGGATATTCCTCCCAATACCCTAAAAAATCGTCTCGTTCGAAACCGCCTTTATGACCGCACATGCGCGACTGAGAATTGTGTGGTCTGTCCCAATGGCA